TGCTTCATGAATGAACTGTAATTTATTGTTGGGTTTGTTTCCATATATACTCCTTATTTGAGTTTTGTGTGTAAATGGCCGATAATTAGCTCTGTGTTTTGCGGAATAATTGAATTTGGTCAAATTTAATGACCAATCATAATGGCGGGTTGAGAATAACATCACCCACATTGTCAAGTATTTATTCGAATATTTAACAAGAAGAAAATATATGTTCAAATATTTACCAAAATTAAATATTCGTTGAATATTGAATTTTTAACTCTAAAAAAATTCTAAATATTTAAATCCTAATAGCGTGTCTGGATGAAGGGTAATGAGAAAGGAAAGAAAATTCTTCCAATTAAACAAAGTAGAGGGGACCAAACCTTCATTTAATGGGAAGATAACAAGATGTTCATTTTTTTGATCTGCAAACAATATCATTCATGAATCAACTGGGTTCAACTTCAAGGAACTTGGTAAAAAAATGCTGGGCCAAAAGGCCAATCCAAAGGCTTGCACTAGTAAAAAAGGGGCACCTCTTTTCCTCTAACCATCTAAAATCTCTTTCTGTATTGTTTACATCACTTGTACTTTTGCACATAACAACTTGAAGCTTATGAACTATTTGGTCTTTCTTCTTAAGTTTTCTTCTACATTCACTTGACTTGAACCTACGCATTCCAAAAGTTTAGCCTAAAAGTTACACATCAGTTTTCTCAATTATTACTTTAAAATTAGAAAGCTCCCCTCTAACGAAAAGTAGAAATCCTATCTAAGATCTAATTTTTATCTTGCATCAATTTCAAAATCTTCTAAAGAGCCCTAAAACCATCTCATGCATGCAGCTACTTAAAAATTGGAAATTTGATGAGTTATAGTTCAAACCTGGTCTTTACAATAAAGGCTGCAGTTTGGGCTGTGAAAATTAATGATTAGTCTAACATATCACATGACCATTAAATACATGCAAGGGATGAAGATTAAGGTACTGAAAAAAGTTAAATGATCAAAATATGAAGACAGTCTGCAAAGAAAGTTGCATCTTGCACCACTAATGAAACAACTCCAATTTTCTAGTTAGACACCTCTAGGCTCTAGCATCTCCATATGATGTTGCCTGTAGGACCGCTGGCCACTTATGGAAAACTTGTTGCCAGTTTTATCCAGTAATTTGCACTAAATAACAGCATCAATGAAAAAGGGCATATCGCATTGGAGGTTATACACAAAATTACTATATGGCAAATTTTCTTCAGCATCAAAATAATGATAATCATATTGTACTGATTAATGCCAAATAGCTAACTAACCATATATATGTAAGAGTTTAGATGACAGTAAACATGGGAATGCTATCAAACAAAAAACTCCTGCAGATAGCTGCCTAACTCATATCTAATGGTAGGTGGTATTTGCTTGAATTCCTAAGTATAGGTAAAAATAAATTGAAAAATTAAAAGCAGAACCTTGCCATCATGACTTCCCTGTGAACAATGATCATGTGATGTGCAGGACAAGTAACATGCCCGTGTATTGCAAAAGAACCACACCATCAACAATAACTCTGTGATATTAAATTCTCCATGTCTAGGAATCACATCCAAGCCTTTCAGTAGCACGTTTTATCCGTAGGGCAGCTCTAACAACACTTCCCCTTGTAAGTATCCCGACCTTTTGAGATCGCAACAGAAACAAATTAGAAGGCAACCATAGCAAACAAGCACATTCGATAAAGCATTTCAACTGAAGTAGAAAAAAATGTTGGATTTAAAGAGAATAGTCTTACCAGCTTGCCATCACCATCCACCACTGGCAGTCGACGGTATTTTGTTTCAAGCAACAACCTGATATTAAAAAATAGGATTTTAGCGTATTTGGCTCCCATTTTGGCAAGCAATGAAACCACTGTCAACACATATTGACATGCAAATTTTAAGCACCTTCCCACATTATAAATGTTGTTTGTGGTCTCATCATAGAAAGTAAATTGTGCAATAAAATAAAATAAAATAGTTACAATAAAAAAAGATTGAACTCAATTATTTCATAATAAATCTCTATTTTTGATTTTCCATCCTACTGAAGCTTGAGGTTAGAAACTACAAAATGCGGCATGTAAATAACAAAACAAATGTAAAAGAACAAGCAAAATTAAAGACGATATGGGATGTAGAGAACAACAAGACCTGGCAGCATCTTCTAAGCTCGTTGATTCATAAACAAAAAGTGGAGCAGGTGTCATCAGGTCACCAATGACTTTCCCATTAGTTTTGCTGAGCAATTTCTGTATTTCATTGAATGTCTGCAACATGACAGTGTTTAACCAGAATTAGAAAAGCAGCAGTCAAACAACATAGTTCATTCTGCCTTGAGTACAGGCATCACACATAGGGTGAGAGAGAGCAGAATATGATAGTCACTCATATGCCTGATTGTCTGATTGAAGAGCACATCATATCTAATTTGTTCAAATACTGGACGGTGGTTAATATTATGCCACACTCATTGAGAACATTGTTGAATATGACAACATAGGAGGGTAAATAGGAGAAAGAACTTCAAGCTAAAGTCTTCTAAAGAAGCTGCAAGTTGTTAGAAATGTAACTGCCTAGAAAGACTTTTTTTGTTCCAGCATTGCATAACAATATGTGGAATGGTGGTAGTCTTACCAAGATTGCTTCCTTTCTAATTCTAGGAACAACTCTGGTCATATTGTCTGTTTACACTCTACTCATGCAGCAGCATGCTCTACCCATTTTGTTGATCCAAGTTTAGTTAAGCTCTGAGGCTCAAGGTAGGTTAACAGAGCAACAGCTAGATTCACTAACCCTCAGGGAATGACAATTGTCAATCTTCACCTTCTTACATCTTCTGAAAAGCAGCCTCAATGATAAAATCCCTTTTCTTCTTTCTCTAAGAATTGCCAATCACTCAATCTCATATTCTCATGTGAAGAATCCAGCAGATTCTAGCTAGCTCATTGTGCTGCTAAGTGAAACTACATAACATATCTGAAAACATGGTCTTAATTACACACTGCAATGTCTGTTTAGGCATTGTTGGCACTCAGCACTATAAGCTGTAACCATATGACCATTATCAAAGTTGTGGCAGCAATACTCAAATTTCTAGAAAAAAATATTAAAAGATTTTAACAATTAAATATCTCTAAATAAAATTCAGATAACGCTTCCAGAAATAATTGACTTCCAATCAAAACTTAAGAACCATAAAATCTAAAAGAACGGTTCTCAAATACCTTCCAAGAGCTATCAACACTAGGAAACATGTTTGTGTCACTCTGACTGCTACCTAACAACCAAAGATAGGGAAAGTTAGTATCTGTTTCACAAAAAAATTCCAAGAGAAACCAAATGCACCAAAGGTGCATATTCCGATATTCATCCAAAAAAGTGGCGAAATTCTAACACTTAATAGAAAATAATTAGTGACAGAAGGTGAAAATTTCACATAAAAAATAAGTAACATCTGATAAAGATATAATTTGATTAAAAACAGAACAGGTTCATGACATGTTGTGCACAAACTCTATGATCTCAGATGAACTGATTAATGGATTAAAAATTCATCTAAAGCATGGTATCTGCTCAGTTATCCTTTTCTACCTTTCTTTTGTTTTTATGACTCCTGGATTCCTCAAAACTTAACAAACATGAAGAACAAAAACACTGTTCCCTATGAGAGAAACGAAATTCTGACTGGCCAACTTTAAACCAAGAGAAATCAGTGCTACTTGTCTAATTAGCAAGCAAATCCAGCAGATATGATGAAGTAGGCAAGTATTAGTAACTTTTATAATCCAAATCAATCCTTCTTTTATACCATGATTACATGAAATCTTCTAAATTTTGTGAACCAACATACTTTGCCCAATGTTTATAAGAAAAATGAATTTCTTGTTGAAATAAAATGTTACAATACCAAGATTTTTGTCTTCTTAACGCAAACAAATTTTTTTCCTTCAAATGAATTCAATAAGCAGTGTCAAGCAAAAAAATTTAAATAAATTGTTTAAATTTAGTAACATACTTATCACATAGACTACCTGATATGGAGTCAAGTGCTAACAAGTCATAATCAGAAACCATACCAACCTGCCAAAAAGAAATTGTCAACCAAAAATCATTAATTGAAGCAGCATTTCCATATGGAAATTAATCTCCTAGTTTATCACGAGTTAGTCAAAATGAAAGCAATGACTCACCCAAAAGCTAAGGATGCAAAACTTTGAAAAAGTTAAAATTATTGACACATACAAAGTAGCTGACTAGTTAAGTGCATTATTATCTACTATCATTGCCACTGAAATATGGAAGTTATCCAAAATAAAATAATTTAATCCATGGATTACAGGAATTATGTTGCCAACTTTATTTTATCAGCATCTCGCAAACTAATCTCAGACTAAGGCGTGGTTTGCTTGAGATATCAATTCAATGGAATATATGATTCACATAAATCCCAATCCCTAACTGGCTCAATTGTTAAGCACTTGAAAACTAGAATTTGAAATGACAGCCACCTCTCTCATGAAAATTGCTGTAGTAGCAGTCGCATATAAACTATAAAGGCTATTTATTATAACAGATATTTCTTGTAAAGGCTAGATTGTGGTTGAGATGCTCTTCAAATTTAGATGTTTCCAGAAGAATTACAAGACTAAATAGTAACTGAACTGACTCCACTTCTGGAAATGGTTTTCAGATCACTCTCCAAATTGTTTCAACATGGCATGGCTAGAACCAGAAGTTTTGCATATGTATAAAGAGAACTACTACTAATTAACCATAATTTGTTGACTCGCCTCATTAAAGTATTACAAGAAAATCTATGCTCAATTCAAAATATTTGATCACCACACAATCAATTACTTTTGGTTAAGACAAGAATGCAAGCACAGCAATCTACCCGTGGGCATCTGAAATGATGGACAAACTAATATAGAGAAAAAGATGGCAAGTTAACAAGCAATCAAGCCAAATAATTGAAATCAAACACAAGTCATGAAATTTAATTTAAACCCAATTTTTCTAAGCCGTTAAAATTTAAAACCCATTTTAAGCTGCTCATTTAGAACAAAATCACAGGACTCCTGACCAAGTGAAGCATAAAGAGCTCACCTACACGCAGCAAAACATATCTTAAATACCAAGATAGAATTTGCAAACCATCTAGTTCTGTAACCATAAACGGTACTCGGAAGACTTACCAATTTCCAGTCATCATCAATCACAGGGAAACCAGTGATTCTCTTCTCAACGAGAGCTTCCAATGCTGTCACCACCCAAAATTCAATCAACAACAGGAAAATATGAACAAAATAAAGTTCCCAAAAATCATTAATTAATACCTTCATCAACAGTAGTTGTAGGTTTCACAACATGTAACTTTTCCTTTTTTGTCATAAAATCTCCAACAATATATGTTGTATCTCTTGGCTAAAAAAACCAGCAGAACCCATGTAAGAAACAACCTTTTTTACTCAATCAAACCAAATAGAACAGCAAGAGAAAAGGGGAAAAGGGGCTGACGGGATCGGAGCTGGTGGTAAGAGCAGCGAAGCGGTGAAACCGTCGTCGTTGAGGAATGGAGAGAGCAGGTACTTGATGGTGATGATGGAATAAGGGTACAATGCACGGTGGCGGAGAATGAAGGACAGACTTGAGACCACAAGGGAGAGGGATATTGAGGGATTGAGAATTGAGCGCAGAAATGGAACCCATGTTGTAAGTTCTGCAACAACAAAAAAAATATAGGTATGGGTTTAGGTTAAGCTGTGAAGACCGTAGAGATGAAAAGAGAGTTGGGGTTTGAGGGAGAATCGGAGATTCAAAGCAGAATATGAAGAGGAAGATTTCCAGGGGCCGTGGGGAATTGTTCCGTGCAAACAGGAAAGTGTCTTTAAATGACAATTGGTCGGAAGGAGGGCCTCTTTTACTTTCAAGTTTTCACGCGCCAATTGTGGTTGTCTGCATCAAATACCGTTCAATACTTCAATATTTTAGCCGACGTTACGGCATTGAAAGAACATGAATAGTAGTACAATGAATAGTAGCATCTTTGAATAGGTATGAACAGTACCAAACAAATAGACCCCTGAGAATTCAGGTTTGAATTTTGCTGTGAATAGGTTGTTGTTGAATTTTATGTTTGTTTATTAGAATTTTTAATTTAATTTAATTATCTTGTCCTGTTAGATGTTGTCTGGTCCATTGTTTAATACTTGATTTGTACTAACAAAGATGGACATGAATAGAAGTACAAAGGATGGATATGAATAGTAGTATCCTCGAACAGGTATGAATAGTACCAAACAAATAGACTCCTCAAACTTCAGGTTTGCATTTTGCTGTGAATAGGTTGTTCCGTTGTTGAATTTTATGTTTATTTATTAGAATTTTTAATTTAATTTAATTATCTAGCCATGTTAGATGTTGTCTGGTCCATTGTTTAATACTTGATTTATAGGAACAAAGACCCTACCATACACCAACGTAGGGGCTTCCTATTCTCACAGCACATGTATGTCACAATTTAAGCTCAATCTCTTACCTTTACTAAAGACGGAAGTCACTGAACCCCAAATATATCCTCGAAGTATGGTGGTAGAGATACATTCATCCTTAAACTAAATGTCTGGACAAATCATCTCATCAATTAGTATTTTTTTTTTTATTAGATTGAAATTAGTTACATATATTAGTTAAGTGGGAGAAGATGAAATAAAATCCATGGGACTCGAATGCATTATCCACAAGAGATGAATGACCCTAATATAGAGTCCATGCCACTAAACCAAAGCAAGTTGTTCATCTCATCAACTAATTACCGTTGGGTAAATGATTCAAAATTTAATTATTCACATTATATGACTTCAACTTTCCACTACTTTATTGCTTACTTAGCTCTTTTATCTATACTAGCAGTAATAAAAAAACTGATGCCATATAATGTCAATGATTAAATTTAAAATCATTTGTCCAACTCAATCAAGGAGTGGTGCAATTTGTACCCATATTTAGTTTGAAGGTGAATGTATCCCTATCCCATTTTGGGACAATTTGGAGGTTTCTCCTTTTACTAAAAATAGATTATTATTATTAGGTTACTTAATTTATTGTCAATTGATTATATTTATTAAAAACACAAATATAAACACTTCTTTTATTAGAATCAATATGCATAATCTTATTTAATGTCATTTTGTATTTTACAAATTATTACTATAAGAAAACATTACACTCATAATATTCTCAAGTAGATTAAACATGATAAAAAATTAAAAATAAAAATAAGACAAACTAGGACAGGGACTGAATAAAATGAGTTTTCTTTTTTTTCTTTTTTTCTTTTTTTTGTAATTTACGTAGGAATATAGTGCCCCCAAATGACTATTACCGAAGTAAGTTCCTATAAGTAATTACTTAAAAAAAAATTTGAGTTGCTTAATGAGACACAACTCTCCTTCAACCCATAACTCCCGTTATTTGCATGTCATGCAACTCTAACTTCCATACAATAAATAAAGAAGATGAACAAGAGTTTGCCAGAATTGATTTTTATTACTTTTTTCATTTCAAGATAACTATCTTTTTTTACTTTAAATTTAACTCAAATTAATTGTCATTTATTCATTTTTAAAGTAGATGAATATTTTTTTCTACTTTAACTATATCATTATCTATTTACTTTAATTAATCTTCCAATCACAAAAGAATAATGGTAAATGGAACTAAAATTTGAGATCAAAATCTGGAACCAATAATATGGCATAAGTCATGT